CCCCCCCCTCTCTCTCTCTCTCTCTCCCTCTCAATCTCTCTCTCTCTCTCGCCCTCTCTCTCACACACACACACACACTCTTTTCCTCTCTCGCTCTCCTGCGCAGCTGGTGTTTGCCCTGCACTCTCCCTACAAGGCGTGTCGCTTCTTGGCGCACGGTGCATCAGCATTGCCCTCACTAAGAACACGTGTCGGGCGTCGAGCAGCAGCGGCGGTGTGGTCTGGTCTGCTTAGCAGAGTCGTTCAATTGATCTTGCGCGGGGGTGCCGAGTTGGGTCGTTCCTTGGGAGGTGAGGGGGGGGGGGGAGCATGGACAACACCTCGGTTTGCGCGGGGGCCTAGCCGCGCGCCAGCTGCGACACAAACACTAACGCAACTGACACAACAGTAATCACGGAACGAGGAAGCAAACACACGAACAATCCTCTACTCCTCTCTCTCTCTGTCTCTCTGACTCTCTCTCAAAAGTGTATGGACTGGCCTACTCGCTTACTTGTGCAGGCGAGTAGGCAAACCCTGCTGTGCCTAAGCACTTGGTGTATACATTCTTTATCGTTCTTTGTCGTTCTAACCCTTGTTGAAGTTGAAGTCGAAAATTTGGAAGTTGTTTGCTGAAGGTTACAGTGCCTCTCTGGTCTGTTCTGGTCGCATCCAAGATTCGTGTGTCTTTCTGTGTCCGAAGGGAATGTAGGGATTTGTAATTTCGCGAATTTTCGACCTGGACACACCCACAGTCTACGAGCCTGCTCCTGTCGTTCCCACTCTTTCCCCCTCTGTCTCTCTCTCCCGGTCAAACAAGGACCCGCCCCGCCGCCCGCCCCAGTGGTCAGCCAGTGTGTGTCCCATTTGTGTGCCCCTGGGGAGGGTGTCGGGGCCAAAGTAGCCGTGATGCTCGCGGGGCGTGGCGGGGCGTGGCGGGGCGGGGCACAACAGTGCAAATGAGGACACAAAACGGACTGTATGCTCAGCCCCCCACCCCCTCCCCGCCCCTCTCTCACCAAGGGGTCATCTCTCTGGGAACATCAAGGAGGAAGGTGAAGTATAAGCTGAGCCGGTGAACCAATAAATGAGCTGGCCTGGCCCCCCGCCCGGACCAACGGCCCCGCGAGGGCTTGCGGGGCGGGGCGGGGCGCGGCCTGGGGCTGCGGGAGGCAGGCGGTGGTCAGCTAGATCCCCGGGGAAAGCAGGACCAGTTAATAGACAAGATGGAGCTGTGTTTGCTTAAGACTGCTGCTGCTGCTACTGCTGCTAGCCGCCGGGCCCGCCGGGCAGCTCCGCCCGGAGTTTGCACTGCGTGGGTCCACCACCACCCCTCCCCCCCCCCTCTCTCACTCTCCCGTTCTTACCCTCTCTCTGCCTCTCTCTTTGTCTCTCTCTCTCTCTCTCTCTCTCTCTCTCTCTCTCTCTCTCTCTCTCTCTCACCACCCTCGCTGCTCTCAATCCCTTGTAGCGGCAGCAGCTCCTGCCGGACGCTGCACTTCGCTTGCCCAGCCTGGAGGGGGTATGCAGTGGAGGAGAGGGCGGAGATGGGCTCAGTTCTTCGCGGTTTCCTCCCTCCTCTTCCCCCCTTCCCCTTCCCCTGTTCCCTCCGCTGGGCAACACAAACAGGCCTATCGTGTCTATACCCAAAACTATAGCTTTCGTCCCGCAATCTCGTGCGTTCGCTTATCCGCACTACTTGACCAGATAATACCTTTGGCCTGATTCTTTTTGTTGCAGGTGAGCGTTGGTGTCTCGGCGGCAGTGGCTTCCGTATAGTGCGCTCGCCGTCTCCCTGTACCCACAGTGAGTAGTATAGAGGAAGCGGAAAGGTCGATGAATGCAGCAGCAGTGTTCTGGGATCTTCGGATTCTCTCTCCCTCCCGCTCTCCCTCCCTCCCTCCCTCCCTCCC